TCAAGAATAGATCTGATCCATTGGGCACTGATGGCTGAAAGCCAGATGTGATGTGTGGGATGACATCAAGGACATGACAAAAGCAAAAGGTCATCGCAATAATGAGAAAAAAGAGACAAAAATGGAGTCAGAAGACTAAGACTTGCTCCTGAAGTTAGAGTAGTTAAAGCAGATGGAAGAGTGGCTTCTCTGTTTATTGGCTAAGCTCAGGTATTGAGCAGATGGAAGAAATGATGCTATAAAAGAGCTGAACAGAAGATTTCAAAGAGCATCTCTAGAAGACAATGTATATTTAAAAGACCTAAGTTACTAAAAGGGAAGCCGAGGAGAAGTGCTTGCCATTTGTCAAACTGAAAAAACTGAAGAAAGATGCGGTCTTCTTGTATATAGAAAATGCATTGACTATGCACGAGATGTTGAACATTGGAACTTTTAAAGGAAGGTGGATGGAATATACAGTCACTGCACAGAAACAAATTTGTTGACATTTAGCCATGTCAGAAGGCAACTCTTGATTCAAAGCTGATGGTATTGAAAGATGTCCAGGCTGCAATGAAGGCCTTGGTGAAAATCAAGACTCCAGGAATTGACAATACCAGTTCAGATGTTTCACCAAGCAGATGTCGTGCTGAAAGTACTTATCTCTGTGCCAAGAAATTTGGCCAACTGACGGGAAAAGATCCATATTTATGCCTATTAAAAACAGCACAGTATGTGGAAATTGTTGGACAATATAATCAATATCACATGCAAATACAGTTTCTCTGAAAAGAATTCAAGAATGGCTGCAGGATTACATCAATAAGAAGTTCAGTAATGAAAATCAGATCAGGCGAGGATATGCAAATGAGTTGTCATTACTGATAGTCACTGTCCAGCTTTAAAGAGGTCTTTTACAAAGATTTACTCAGTGTCATACTGAGTTGTATGCTCAACTAATAGGAGAAGCTGGACAGCACTAGAATCAGAGGAGACCTCGTTAACTGCCTGCAGTACACAGATGACATGACCTTCCGTGCCTCAAGTGAAGAGTGCCTAAAGCAGTAAGGAAGGTCAAACAACCTTCAGTATGGATTACATCACAACATAAGAGAAACAAAAAGGCTCACAACTGGACCAGTAGACAACCTCATGGTCAATGGAGAAAAGATTGATGTTGTCAAGGATTTCCTTTTACTTGGATCTACAGTCAACGCCCGTGGAAGCAGCAGTCAGGAATCAAATGAAGTATGACATTGAGTACATCTTTATAAAAGACCTCTTTAAAGTGTTAAAAAGCAAAGATGTCACACTAGCAACTAAATTGTGCCCTAAGCTAAAATATTTTTATGTGCCTGGGAAAGATGGAGAGTGAATAAATAAGACTAAAGAATTGATGCCTTTGAATTGTGGCGTTGAGAAAGAATATACTATTGAAGCCAGACGAATAAGCAAATTGGTACTGGAAGCTGGTCGGCCAAAATGCCCCTTACAAGCAAGGATGATGTCTCAGGCTGTCTGGACTTGTTATCACGTGGGACCTGGAGGAGAACGTTATCCTAGTAAAGTAAAGATGCAGCACGCAAGAAGAAGACCCCCAATGAACTGGATTGATGCCGTAACTGCCAACAGTGGATTCCAACATGGCAAAGATAGTGGGGATGGTACAGGACCAGGCAATGTTTTGTGGTTGTGCATAGGATTGCTTTGAGTCAGAACTGACCCATAGTAATATTTAATAGCAATGATATCAGTCTAGAGACTAAGGTGTGCTTGATCCAGGCCATCGTCTTTGCAGTTACTTGCTCTGCATCAGAGAGCTGGACAGTGATTAAGGAGGACAGAAGAAAGATCGATGCCTTCGAGTGGTGGTGCTGAAGAAGAGCCTTGAACATAACGTGGACTGCCAAGAAAACAAATAGGTCTGTTTTGGAGAGGGTGAAACCAAGTTTCTCCTTGGAGGCTAGGTGTTTATTATTTTGTTTGGATTTTTGTATGTGTGTTTGTGTTTTCTTACTGCGTACTGTCAAATTGGATCCTTCTGGCACAGGAGATTGTAGAGCATCTGGTGGATTTGAACTGCTAGCCTTCAGGATTGCAGTGCAGCTTCTTGCCACTAGACCACCAGAGCTCCCTAGAGGCTAAGATTTTGAAGCTCTGTCTCATATACTTTGGGTACATGGTCAGGAGGGACTGGTCCTTGGAGAAGGACATCATGCTTGGAAGAGTGGAGGGGCAGCGAAGGAGTGGAAGACCCTGGATGAAATGGATTGATACAGTAGCTGGGGCAATGGGGGTTGGTGTTTCGGAGTCAGTGTGACTGGCTCAGGGCAGGGCAGGCTTCAGAATTGTTGTACATAGGGTCTCTATGAGTCACGAGCAACTTGATGGCACGTAACAACACAACAAAGCATAATTGTTTTAAGAGCTCCAGCTCTGGGGGCCTGCATTTGATCCTAGATTAGTCATTTGCTAGCAATTGATCTGGGGCTAATGACATCACCAAACCTTAGTTTCCACATTCCTGAAATGAGATTAAGCGACAATATAGATGTAATGCATTTAATTGGTAGGCTGCACTGAGTAAGGATAAAAATGTGTGCTCAGACAACTGGGAAGAAGAAACACTCAGGACACTTGATATACCTTGGTGGAAAACTCCATGTGTGTGTGCCGGCAAGTCAGACCTGACCCATAGCTGACCTTCCAGCGGGTTTTCAGAGACTGTAAATCAAATGGGAGGAGATTGTTCACTTGCAGAGCAGATGATGGATTCAAACCTTGTGCCTTTAGGATTGCAGCGCAGCTTCTTACCACTAGGTCACCAGAGTTCTGGAGAACACCATGATAGCTACAATAGTAAAGAGAAAAGAAAGGTGGGAGATGCAAGTGTTAAGAGTGTTGGCAGAATATAAAAGCTGAAATAAATCAGTCAGGCTTTTCATTTCCATAAACTTGGCTAAAAAACCTTGAATCACAGGGATTGTTTTACCAAAGCTCTTCTTTGTTATGATTTTAATAACAACTAGTCAGAAAAGTATTGGTACAAGATTCTAGAAAATAGCAAATATTTTTTGGCATTGCTAACAAAAGCTATAGACATTTTACTAGGAAGCCGTTGGAGCTTATGTTCATGGCCTTTTGTGCTCTGAGAAGGCTGTGCCCAGGCAGGTTCCCTCATGCTTTGTAGGAGAGGAGACAAGGTTGGTTTCTCCTTGAGAGGTTCTGGCAGGGTTGTGGCTGCTCTGGCGGCTTGAAATCTTAGAGAAGCCATGGAGGTTTTTAAATGGCATCTGGACGTGTGTCAAGGCTCAGAATACACTCAGGCTTGAGCTGCAGGCCACAGCTTTCTGCAGGTCATCCCCTTGTGGGCATCAGGTTGTAGAGCAGTTGGGACATCTGGCTGCTCAGAACACAATTTCGTTGACCTTTGCCTGTTCCCTCCTTTATCCTGTTACTTAAGACCCCAAGATCCAGGAAGGAAGATTCCACTGAGTTTTTAAGCTTGTTCCCTGGCTCTAGTGGGAAGCTATATGTGCAAGACTGGGGTGTCCTCAGCACATATTGTGGGAGAAGGGACCTCAAGAATGTTTCCAGGGATAGAGAAGTCCACTGGGGAGAGTGGAGTGTTGGTGAGTTACGTGTGTGGGCAGGAGCAGTAGGCGCTTTGCAGCCCAACTACCCCTTGAATGTGGTTACCACGACCACATTCCAGTGTACATTCTCCAGTGTACGCCTTAAATTTGGATTCTGTCTCCACTCTGAAATAAGAGTCCAGGTTTTTCCATGCAAGCAGAGAAAGAGGTTGTTAGGGGAAATGCTTTGCAAAGTATAACTATTTTGCAAAAGAAGACATGGAGGGATAAAGCAATTCTAGCCCATGACTCACTGCACAGAATTGTTGAGGTTGTGAAGATTTGGGTGAGGAGGGGTTTCACGTTATTCTTTTTTTCTTTTTTAATAAATTTTTATTTTGCACTAGTTTGCTTACAAAGTTCATACATACTGTGTTTCACACTATTATCCATTCACATTGTGTTCCATACAATCTTTACTATTCATTATATTTGATAGAATTAATCAACATTGAACTATGCCCGCCATTGTCCTATCTTTCCAGATCCCTGCTGGATCTTTCCCATTTCCTTTACTCACTGCTCCCTCCACCAATCAAATTGTGCGACCCTGTGATTACCCTTTCTCCCTGCCCATCCTCACCCTTCTCCTTCCCTCTGCTACTTTGATCCTCATACATGATTTACTAGTTATCTTTCTGTTTCTGCAATAATGGTCTTATACAGTATTTGTCCTTATGAGACTGAGTTACTTCACTCAGCATAATTCTCTCCATTCCCTTCCAAATTGTGTAGTTATTTTCAAAATCGTTGCTCTTGAGTGCTACATAGTATTCCACCATGTTTATTCCTAAGAGAGATTAGGATACTCTGCAAATGCCTGGATAGGAGGGATTAAGTGTGGTGCAGCTGGTTCTTCATGATGGATGCTGTTACAGAGGCTTCTGGGTCAAGAGACATCACTTATTATGGGATGGTGTGCATGTACTGTGTAGAAAGGTACCACAGTTAGATTTCCTTGTCTGGTAGATAACTTCCTGCTTGGGTAGGGCAGTGCTGTTACTGGCTCTGCCCTGTCTCTGTTCAGTGGTTCAAACTAACAAATGGCCCACGACTGCAAGAAGGTATAAATTCCAGGGTTAACCTTGAGTTATTTATAGGAGATGGTGGGAAGGAGAGAAAGAAAAACAACTCCTTTTGTAAATTTATTTTTTCATTTGAATAAGAGTTTACAAATTACACTGGTTTTTTTTCATTCAGTCATTCATATACCTTTTGTTTTGTAACACTGTAACTGTAATATATTCAGCAATTCCTACACACTTCCTTGTAACATGAATTGTAGTAAATGAATTTTATTAATTCATTACAGTGCCTTAGTGTATCTTAACAACACAGCTGCTTGAAGTCTGAAATCATTCACTGAGTGTTGCTTTCGCCCTTTAGGAGAAGTTTGAAATGCAGCACTCAGAAGGCTACCGGCAGATCTCCGCGTTGGAGGATGACCTTGCACAGACGAAAGCAATTAAAGACCAGTTCCAGAAATACATCCGCGAGCTGGAGCAGGCCAACGATGACTTGGAGAGAGCAAAACGGTTTGTCAGACGGGAGGGAGAAAACCACTTTGGGACCTTTTCTTCCCATGTCTTCTCCAGCTGTTTTTCTTTTTTAATTTTACTCTTTCTTTTATTATATTTCAGTGAAGGTTCACGGAGAGGTTGCCGTTCACTCATGCATGCACTTTACCCTCCCCCCTAGCCCCCAGTTCCCTTTGTAATGCTTGTCCTGTTCCAGGCTGTTAATTGTCATGTGCATAATGTCTAAGTTTTCTTGATGTTGTTGAGAATATACACCTCCACCTGCTCGCCAGTCCACCCAGTTCTATGAGTACAATTCAGTGATGCTGGTCTTACTCTTAAAATTGTATACCTGTTCTCGCCCTCTGTTTCTGAGTTATCCCTCCCCCAGTAACACAGATTCACTGCCCGTAACCTCAGACCTCACGGCCATCGAGTCAGGACTGGCTCCTAGCTGAGCCTCCAGTGGATTTTCAGAGACTAAACTGCACAGGATGGAGTGACCCGTCTGGCTCCTGTGTGATCCTTGGTGGATTCGTCTTGCCAGAGGGTCAGCAGCACAGCTCTCTGTCCGCTAGGTCCCTCTGGTTCCTGTTTTTGCCATTTTGTTGTTGTTGTGTACCATAGAGTTGGAACCAACCCATCGCTGACCCTCTGGTGGTTTTTTTTCAGAGGCAGGAAGTGCTCAGGAGGACATTGTCCATCCTTTTCCCAAGGAGCAACTGGTGGCCTCGAACCACATGCCTTTGGAATTGCAGCACAGATTCTTGCCACTAGGCCACCAGAGCTAGATCTTGAAAGAGCATACTGGTCAAGGCTGGTATTTTCTACTAGTTAAACTAAACTACTGTTCCGTTTTGAGGAAATATTTTTGAGTAAAGCTTAACAATTATCTCAAGGCAATAGGTAGATGAGAATTGTGGAGCCCTTTGTCTCTGTTTCTGCCTGCAGCAAGGAGATAGCGGCAGTGGGTATGGTCAGTCAGTGCGCAAACACGAGTTGAGTGCCCTTAAGGAGCTTTCACAGGAAATGAGCGTAACTTCAGCACTGTAACTGCAGCAATAAACACAGCGAGTCCAGAGCGTTAGGGAGTCATACAACTTGAACTCTTATCATTGAACTTGGCCTGTGGGAAAATGTCAGACAAGCCCCCTTCCACAGGAAATTAAAGCAGGCTGAGAGTAGAGGCCTGAATAGCCCTTACCTGGGGAATAAGGATGACGGGAGATTTCCAGACAGAAGGAAGCAGAAGGGCCCTAAGTCATTGCCATCGGATCAGAAATGACTCGTGGTTGAGCCTCCAGTGGGTTTTCAGAGGCTGTAAATCACACGGGAGGAGATTGCCCGTCTTTCCCAGGGAGCCGCTGGTGGAATCAAACTACCAGAGAGACAGCCATTCCTCTCCCTGAATCCTTAAACTAGGAAGGAAGGAGTCATGTTCAAGGGACAAATACAAAACTTAAAACCTTTGCTGTTGAGCTGAAGCAACCCTTCATCAGGTCTCTGAGGCTGTAAATCTTACTAGAAAAAGATGCTCATCTTTCTCTCTCAGATGCATCTGAACCTCTGGAGACCCAGGGCCTTTTTCTAATTTTATTTATTTATTTAGACCCAAGACATTTAGATTAGCAATGAAATGTGTTATGAGCTCTGCTACCAGAGTGTCTAATTCAAGAAACAGTGTTTCTTGAATAATCTGAGGTATGAGAGAATGGCTAACACTTACTGAATAATTACTGTGAGCCAGGCACAATATTGCTTTCTTCAGATAAATTACACACAGGGACATGCGTAGAGCTTAAGCTTGCAATTGCTTGAGTTTTAGCAAATGCATACATTTGAATAACACAGTCACATTAAGACATGAAACATTTTCATTGTCCAAATCATTCCTTGCATCACTTTGTTGTTGTTGTTGTTGCCTTGGGGACTATGACCAACGTCAGCCTCCCTCATTGTGGATTCCGTACTTAGGAATTCTCCTGCTACCCAAGATGCATTTGAAGCCCCTGATCAGTGTTCATAGTGCTTCTGTGGTCATTCACAACTTACCTAGAGCTTGACACACACATTCCCGGCTGGGGTCAAACAAGGGGACACTGTTTGACTTGTATCTCCTCTCCTGCTCTAAATGATTGCCTTTTTTTTGCAATTTGTCTTACAATTTTTCTCATTTTTATGCATTTTTAATTGATTTTTTCAAATTTATTTTTAAAATAGTGCATAGCACAGTGCCTAATTATAAGCCTGAGACCACTTGAAACAGAAATCAACGAAGTGCACAAAACTGAGAAAAACTTCAGTCAAATGGCAAAAAGGACACTTAAGCACATGTCTAGGAAACTCTTGTGGCCTAGTGGGTAAGAAATTTCACTGTCAACTCAAAGGCAGGAAGTTCAAAGCTGCCAGTTCTTCCTCAGGAGAAATATGGCCTGTTTCTTCCCATGCAGTTTACAGCCTCTGAAAACCTGCTGGAGGGTCAGCTCAGAGTCGGTGCATAACAACAAAAACAACAAAGGCGTAGTGCTGACATGCTATTAGTCTATAAAAATGACATTGTGGAGGCATCTGGCCTCCTGAAAGGGGAGAGAGAAATCACCCACAGAGGTCATGCATGCCTCCCTCCGGCCCAGTCTTCCTCATTCTCACACCACCACCACTGGTCCCACTTCTTTGCTGCTGTCACTGTTAGATGCTGTTGAGTCCAGTATGACTCATAGTGACGCTGGAACAACAGGTCTGAAACCTTGCCTTATCCTGAGCCAGTCTCAGTATTTCTGACATGCGTGAGCCCATTGTGGCAGTCACTATGTCAGCCCATCTGGTTGAGGGTCTTCTCTCTTCCGCCATCCCCCTTTCCCGCTGTCATCACCTTTCCAAGATGATGTTTCTTTCTGAATAATAACCTCTGCTAGCGACATGCCGGAAGTATGTGAGATGAAGCTTCACCATCCTTGCCTCCAGGGAGCACTCTGGCTGCACCTTCTCAAAGATCTGTTTGTTCTTTTGGCAGCTTTATGGGATAGTCCCTCAGTGAATATGTGAATATCCAACTAATTGGTTGCTAATTACAGCAGCTGGTAGAGTCAAACCTCCTGCTCCTGGTTGAGAGCAGCCTTCCCCTTTAGGCTACTCCTTACCTCCTTACCCCAATTAGTTGCTAATGACCTAGTAACTCATGCTTGAATACTAGGCGATTCAGTGTGCCAAGCAACCTTCTACAATGTAACTGTGTAGGAATAGAAACTAAGCTGTGTAATTTCCTTTTTCATTCTTTTTAGGATTGTATCTCTATGTGCAAAATGTAACAACGTTGCAATCTTACAGGTTCACAATTGTCTCCATTTTATTCTGTAGAAACCAAACCAAACCTATGCTGTGGCGTTGACTTTAACCCCTAGCCACGCTCCATTAGGTTTTTGAGGCTATGACCCTGCAGGAGGTGACTGCTCATTTTCTCTTCTCTCCGTAGGTGATGGGTTCACTGAGGGCCGTCATCTCTTTCTTTGACCTTCTCCTTTGCCAAACGTGATGTGTCTAGGAGTTTTGGAGTGTATTCTGAACACTGTGAATTGTGTGTGGTTCGTTGCCATTGAGTCGGTTCCGACCGATGACGACTTTGTGTAGAACACTGAAACATTATTCAGTCGTGTGCCATCCTCATTATCACTGATGATGAACCGAGTATTACAGCTGGGGCCAATCCATCTCATAGAAGGTGTCCATCGTTTCCAACGACCTTCCGCTTTACCAAGCATAAGTCTTTTTTCAGCGATTTGGCTATCCTTTTGATATGTTCAAAGGAAGCAAGATGAAGTCTTACCCTTCTCTGATTCTAAGGACCATTCCAGCTCTTTATACTTCCTCTAAGACTGCTGTGTTCTTTCTTCTGGTAGTAAACAGTACATTAATTACTCTTTGCCAGCATCAGAATCTAAATGTAGCAATTTCCTTTAGATCTTCTGTTTTAATTGTCCAGCTTTCAATGCATGTGAGACAGTTTCAGAGACCATGGTTTGAATCAGGAGCATGTTAGTCATCAAAATGACACCTTGTGTTGTAGAAACAGGATTCATTTCTGTTGTTAATTTTTTGTGTGTTTGTTTTCCTTTCTTTTTAAATTTTCTTCAACTGGCAGTTTACTCCACTAGACTCAAACACCAAATTCTGTCTCCAGCTGCCTGCAATCTGCTAGGAGTTACATGCATGGTTCAGGGGTCAGCTAGGGTTTTGAAAGACTTCATATGTAGAGGACATGGGTTGTGGTGAATTTCTACTCCTGAAGCCTTAGATAAAAGCTGTAAAAATGGAAAATGTTCCTGTACTGTTCTTCCTTCCACATTTCTGGAAGTCTTGTAGCTTCTGCTGGGGCTGTTAGATAATTGTTTTCTACATTGTATCAAAACTTAAGTTACTGTTGTGGTTGCCAGTTTGATTCCAAGCACTGGCATCATCCTGGTTGTGTGTGGAGTAGAACTGTGCTCTGCAGATTTTCCCAGTCTGTGACCTTGGAGAAGCAGGTTGCCAGGCCTGTTTCCTGAGATCTTCCTGGGGGTATTTGAACTGCTACCCTCTTAGCTAGTACTTGAGTGCTATCTGCACCACCCACATTATTTTTAAGTGTGGGAGGCTTAGTTTTACAGACTCTCCCTCTCCATTACCAGAAGAACCTCCTTGTAAATGTAGAAGAATTCTTCTTATTTCTTTCTTATTAATCTTCTTTGTCCTGAATAAAAATATTTTTCACAGAATAATCTGTATTTGTTTATGGTATAGCTTTCTATGTAAATTTGAAAACATATTTGGCTTCTCCCCTATGTGTCCATTGTTTATAGCTTCTAGGTTTCATGTATTTTACATTTTTTAGGACGAGGAAAAGAGGACTACATTGTGTTGGTGTTTGACCTTTTTATACTTTTATCTGCAATCCACCTGCGATTTATTTTGTATGTAAGATACAGGTTCAGTTTCATTTTAAGTAGATAGCCAGTTGAGCTATTTAGTATGCTTTCTTTCCTCACTGAATCGATCTACTGGCTGTCCTGTGTTATCTTCTCATTTAGCCTTGGATGTAACTCCAGATTCTATGTTTCTGTACTGTATGTGACTTGCCAGCGATGGTGTTGATACTGTACCTACTAGAAGCTGTGGCTTCATTGCTGTTAGGGTCTGTTGAGGTTGCCCTGTGACCCTCGCCATGGTTGCTGTCTTTAAGCCCATTACTACAGCCATGGTGTGGGCCCCTGTCCCTGTATCTGTCTCCCCCTGTCTCACTGGCCCTCTGCTTTACTGCGCATGCGTTCTTTAGTGATTGGTCTCTCCTGTGTGCTCATCTGGCTTTTAAGGGACACTATGTTGTGCATATTCCAAGACACATTTGTTACTTCCTCTTGCTCCAACTAAAACACCTACTGATCCCCAGCAGCCCCCTCTCAGGTTTTGAGGCTGTGAATCTTAATAGGAGGCGACTGTCTCATCGTCCTTCCTCAGAATAGACAGTGGATTTGAACCTCTGTCCTCTTGGTGTCCTAACATGTTACACACTCTGCAATCAGGGCTCCTTTTCTTCTGACTGTCAATGGTGTATTCAAATAGTCACCATCATCACAATTCAAATGTGTCAGCTCCTTTTCAGTCTTCCTTTTTCATTGTCCAGCTTTCACACGAACATGCGGTGATTGAAAGTACCATGGCTTGAGTTAAACACCATCAGAGTCACATCTTTGCTTAACATTTTAAAGAGACCTTTTTCTGCAGATGTGCTCAATGTAATAGTCATTTGAGTGTTTTTTTTTTGCTTTGAATGCATTTATTCAATTACACTTTTTTTTGTTTTGTGGTTTGCTATTTATATTTTGTTTATTTATTTCATCTGAGGGAAGATTTATAGATCATACTGGCTTTCCATTCAACCAATACCCATTTTTTTAAATAACATCAGTTGCAATTGATTCATTCATTACAATGTCTGGCCAGTCTCTTATTGTATATTACCTTTCTCTTCATCTAACTTATCTATCTTTTCATTTTTATTACTCTCTCCCTCCCACCCCATCCCCTGTATCCATTTGATTTTTTAAGTGCTTCTTCCATGATCACTGATTATTGGTCAGTTATAAGGATTTTTATTTTCTTTAGGTTGAGGTACTAAAGACTTATTTATCTCTTTATCTTCTTCAGTAAGTGCTTCAAATTGTAATTCTCCACCAGCAAGGTTATGTCATTTTCATATCACAGATTTTAATGTTGTGTTTTTCTTTCTATGGCCCAGTTTCTGGGTTTATTTGGTAAGCTATGGGTTGAATAAGTGAGATAGAAAACACAACTCTACCACATTCCTTTTTTCAATTTTAAACCATGTGATATTCCTTTGTTGTGCGTGAACCTGCCTCTTTACCCAAGTACACATTCCACATGAGTATAATTAAGTGTCCTGCAATTCCTGTCCTTTGAAGTTAAATATGTGGCTTTGGAGTCTATTCTGATATACCTTCATTTTCTTTTATATGTCATTAATGAAAGCAAACCCTAGTTAAGGTGTGACAAAGAACATTCCATGTACATTGGGGTCATGGGGGGGTGTGGTTACTGGGGAGGGTGCAAAATTAGTAGTCAGTGATACAGTTAATCACAAAGAAATGATAAAAGTACTGGACATAAAAATAATACATAAAGGAGCAAATAGTGGGAAGTGTTCTTACAGGTAACCATATAATCAAGTTTATCAGATTTTTGCTTTTGTGGCTTCTAGTTGCTTTTGTATGTCTTTCTAGAATTTCCATAAACACACTTGATCATGTGATCATTACAATTATGGATAAAATTGAGAAAGTGGGAATCTGATGCCATGTCCAGAGTACAAGAAATAAAGTCTTATCATTCTCGCTTCTAAGCCCATTCTTCTCCTGTGGGGCAGCTGGTGGATTCGAACCACCTGCCTTTGGGATTTCAGTGCAGCTTCATACCACTAGGCCACCAGAGCTCCCTCATTTTTGCTTCTAAGGAGCATTCCTACTTCTTCCAAGACAAGTTTGTTTATTCTTCTGGCAGTCTGTGGCAGTCTACTTTTCACCAACATCATAATTCACCTCCCGCCTTTCTTATTCATTGTCCAACTTTTGCATAAAGATGAGGTGACTGAAAATACTGAACATCCCATGACTTGGGTCAGGTACGCTTTAGTCTTTAAAGTACAGGATTTATAGTTAGCAGGGCATTGAAGGTCTTTTGTGGATGAAAACCAGGTCAGCAATAAAAATTACTGCTATTCATAGAGGATTTATGAGTGACACGTATTTTGTGTGCTTTCCGTCTTTAGTTTTGGCCCCTTCCATTTGTGAGGGACCTGTCCTACCCGGCAGTACACGTGAGGAGGACATATAGGACAGAGAGCAGGTGCTTTGTCTGAACAGCACTGGGTTTCTTTATTACATCACCTCGCCCTTCTTTTAACATAGTATTTCATTGATACATTTTTGCAGCTCACAAGAAGATTGTGGCTTAGAAAGTCAGCAGGGCATTCTGAATTTTTAAAAAACTTTTAAAGTTACTGACACTTTAAAGATAAGACTCTTCAAATACATATTCCAGTTGATTCATTCTGGTTTGGACCCCTGCTGAGAAGTTGCCTTTCCACCTCAGACGCCCTGAATCAGAGTCTTCATCGCATCTGGCTATGTACTTAGCGTCACCCGGGGATCATGTTAAAAAGTAGACTTTGATTGGTGTGGTCGGGTGGAAGTTCAAATCATCTGCAGAGAATTGTTCTACAATGTGCCAGTTCCAAGTCATGGCTTAAATCACTATTGAAGTATGTGTGCATTATTATTTTTGTTTTTTAGTATATACTCTGAATTTGGGTTTTGTGTTATTAATCTCCAAGAGAAAGTAAAATACTCTGTTTGCCACTCAAGTGATCAGACAGTGGACGTAGTCCCAGGAAAGTCTGAAGAAGAGCGATGGCATAGCAGTTAAGTGCTTGGCTGCTCACCAGAAGGTTGAGGGTTCAAACTCACCAGCTCTGGAGAAGGATGTGGCCGCTTACCCTGTAAAACTCTTCTGGAAACCTGTGTAGCAGTTCTGTTCTGTCTGCGGGTTGCTCTCCTCTTGAGAGCAGTGGGTTTTTGAAGAGTTTTCTTGTTAGGTGGTTTGTGCACTTTGATGGCTTTTTAGTCCTCAGGACAGCCTTGTCCACTGCATGAGCTGTGAGGATTCCTCCTCTGTAAGGAAGAGTCCCCGGGATGCTTAGCGATTTGCCGGGCAGACCTGCGCCGTCTGAGATGTGCCGACACTGGGACTCTGCTCCAGAGTGTCTGACCATCCTCCCCCAGGTCTGCAGGCACCAGATGGAGGTCACATGTTGGCACTGTGGGATAACCTGTCCTTTCCCTCGCACAGAGCCACAATCATGTCGCTGGAAGACTTCGAGCAGCGCTTGAATCAAGCTATTGAGAGAAATGCCTTCCTGGAGAGTGAGCTGGATGAGAAGGAGAACCTCCTGGAATCTGTCCAGCGGCTGAAGGATGAAGCCAGAGGTAAGCAGGCGCGTGCCTTTGTTTCCTCCCCAGTTGTGTCCCCTCAGTCCATCTTGTCCCCTCACACAGCCAGTGTGACTGTCACTGGGAATCTGCCCTCTGCTATGCAGACGGGACTGCGCTCAGAGGGTGTGCGGCCACACGACACAGACTCTAACCTTGGTTCTCAGGGCCCAGGCCTGTGAATGACCAGGTGCCCAACTGTGTGAACCCCCTGTGGATGAATGCAGAGGCAGTTTTGGGGCTCGCCGGCGATGCCGTGGTGTTTGAGGTGTGCCCCTGAGCAGCAGTAGAACTCACTTGGGAAGGATTCCCCAGCCTTGTGCTTGGTGGGCGATCAGTTCTGTCGGTGGAATTGCTGGCTGGCATCTTACTGCCATTACTGCATGGCCACAGGGCATTTGTCTTAGAACTCAGGGACCTCTCCAGTCTTTGTTCTTCAGATGGGTCCCTGGTCCCAGCAGAAGAGCATCTAAATTGTAATGAGGTGTTAGGAAATCCTCCAAGTTGGATGCTTAAAAGCAGTTTGTCGAAGTCACAATTAATTATTTATAACATTAGTTTGGTGTCTGATGTGCACAAGTAGGTGGAAGATTAAAAAGAAGGAGCTTGTCCCTTTCTTTTTTTTTTTTTTCACTCTACTCTACTCCACCACAACATCACTTTATTAATTCGTCATCAACAATGTAAAACTCTAATGGATACTCTATCCTGGTTTTCTAAAAGGTGTAAGATTACAGTGGATTAGCTACTTTCTATGAGAAAAGGGGGTGGGAGGAGAAAAGAAAAAAACTACAGCAATCACAGAAGAGGGAAAATTCGAGTGACCCAAAAAATGCACACTATGAGTAAAGGGGAGTGTACACTAAATCAAATGTGTTCGATTCACTGCGCTTGTCCCTTTCAAAGATGACTGTTGTTTAGTGTCTTGAGCTGACTTGTATTGACCCTGTGACACTACACATGACAGTCAGTGGGAAGGTGTTTAGATAAGCCTCACTGATTTACTTTGTGGAATACTAAGCGTTTGCTAAAATGAACAAAATACTATCTAAAGGTGTAATTCTAGAAAGACTGCCAGGTATACCATTGAAGGAGGGAGATTAGGATAGTGGGTGCTGTGTGTTTTCATATATGTGTAATGAAAGTTGTTCATATTACGCACAGACTAATACATACACACATTCATGCTGTAGTTTTAAAAAGGTAAAGAAAAGATTCTTCCAAAAGTTAGAGTGGTTTATGCAAGGGAGGAGAGCTTAGGGATGGATTAGAGAAATAGTGCTATATACACTTTAAAAGCCAGATAAAGGTATTTAATGTGTCATCGTCATAGTTTTGTTTTTGATTTTTTAAATTTGTGGCTTTTTTAGTTTTTGTTCAATAGAAGCATCTTGTCATTTTGCAAGTCTGTTAGGGCATGTGGGTCTAAAGTCATTTCACTGTAGAAGTTCTTTTCATCCTCTGGGGTCTACTGTTGACCCCCATCTATCCTTCACATCCTCGTTCACCACAGTGAGGGCATAGCCCAGAAGGAGAATGACCTCCCCACACCTTTTTCCTGTCCCAGACTTGCGGCAGGAATTGGCCGTGCAGCAGAAGCAGGAGAAGCCCCGGACTGCCATGCCGAGTGTGGTGGAAGCGGAAAGGACAGACATTGCTGTCCAGGCCACAGGCTCGGTGCCCTCCACGCCCACAGCTCATCGAGGACCCGGCTCCAACATAAACACGCCCGGGACCTTCAGACGTGGTGAGAGGCAGGGGAAGACTGTGTATGGTTGGATGAAACTTTCTGGGATAAGAACCTGGATGAGTCTAGACTGAGAGATGGTTTGGACCAGGGTGCCCAACAGGGAGCAAACCAAGATGCCCACAGGGTACCTTCAGGGTACCAGGAGATGCACCCCGGGTGTGAGGCAGATAGAGATAGTAGAGCCGCCCCCACCCCTTTCCTCAGCCACAGGGATTATGAACCCAGGATCAGCAGATTGTTCATTCTGCTAACAGAATGGTACAAGAAGCCAGAAATCCTCTTTTGAGTATGAAACTGCTTCGCTCACCCCGATGGTAAGATGCTTGTAACTAAATAAGAATTTTAAAGGCATTTTGTGATGCCTTCAGTGCCTTGCCTAGAGCCCGGCTGCAGCCTTGCAGCCCCAGGTTGCATCTTGTGCTGCAGTCAAATCCAGGAAATGCAGGTTCTCACCCAGCCCCTCAGCTTTGTGGTTAGCTCTGTGACTTTGGTCGGGCCCCTGGACATCAGATAGTCACAGCAGAGACAAATTGTTGGGGGCCAGTCTGTGCCAGGCGCTGTGTTTAAGGAGCTTTGTACACATGGCGTAGTTGAAGCTTCACTGCAGCCCCATGAAGCCAGAGCTGATGATTTCATGCGGGGCAAGGAGATGGACACCCACATGTGAGCTTGCCTGTAGTCCTGGCCTACTAGGTGGTTCAAACCCAGTCAGGCTGACTCCAGATCTCATACGGCCTTTAGACCGTGTACCCTTGCCCCTTAGGGAGCGTTGTGGCACAGTGGTTAAGAATGAGCTGCTGACTCTAAGGTCACAAGTTCAAAACCCACCAGCAGCTCTGTGGAAGTAAGATTTGGTTATCTGCATATGTAAAGAAATCCTATGAGGCAGGTCTACCCTGTCCTGTGAGGTCACTGTGAGTCAGAATTGACTCAGAAGCAATGGGGAAGTGGGCCTTACCTAGTTCCCTGGAAACGGAGAGGCTGGTGTGATTTCCAGAGTCCGAGGCCAGAGTGTGGTTCTCTGATGTTACCCGGCATGTCGATTTTCCAGGACGTCTTGTTAAAATGCCCCTCTGTGGAGGAGTTCTGGGGTGGGCCCTGGGTGTCTAACAGGGGATGCTGCCAATGCTATTGGTGCAGGGATCACACCTGGAGGAGGCGGCTGAGCAGAGTAGAACTCATGAACGTGGTGCACGTGTGTGCTCACTGCACACGCACACGTTTAGAGGCGTCGTCGTCAGGGCTTGAAAATGTGATCTTCCAGCAGACTCGTGGTGTGTCACACAGTGAACTGATGGATAAGCGAGGTCAGCATCCTGAACCAAACGGTGGGGACAGATGCCAGCTCTGCTCCTCGGCCCTCGGGTCTCTAATTTCGAGATGTTAGTACGCAGTCATTGCTGTGGGCTGACATCATGTGGCCTCCCCACTTCATACATCTCAGGTGTGGACGACTCTGCTGGCGGGACCCCTCTCACACCTGCGGCCCGGATATCTGCCCTCAACATCGTGGGAGACCTGCTGCGGAAAGTGGGGGTAAGGCCAGTGCCTTTCAGTTCAGTATGGCTTCTTGCCTGTCTTTTAGGGTATTTGAGAAGGTTAATTTTATTGGCCCCTCTATAAGAGACTCCACAAGTTGAGGTTCGCCTCCAATTCTTCAGCATTCCTTAGGATCATTAGATCTAAACAGCTCTTGTCGTAATATGAAAGCTGAAAGCGTGTGTCTTCGTGTTCTCGGGAGAATTATAACCAGTGAGGAGGTGTGTGTGACTGTGTGTGTGTGCGCGCGCGCACATAGAGCGAGAGCCCTTCTCCTGGGAAGCTGAGCTTCTCTTGATCCCTGCATCTTTTTATTTCCTTGTACAGTTTTTCTGTAGGTCATTTGGGAAATTAGGATGGTGTTGTGTCTGAGGGTTTTGTTGTTTTAGTTTTTTTTAAGTTGGAAAAAAACCACAAAACCTGAAGGACATTTGAATCTTCATAGAATACAGCAATGAACTTGACCTCAGCTTTCTTTATAATAAAGAAATGATTCTTTCATGTTAAAGAAATATCTTGGGCATTCTTTGTAGCTGTTGCCATTTAAAAAAATTTTGTCTAGAAAGCCAATGTAATTTAAGCCCTGGCCACTTGCCTTTGACAGTTATAACTTAATAGAACCTTAATAGAACCTTCTGGGTTTTAAGTTGTCTGTTGTATAAATAGATCATAATGTTGATACAAGCATAGTTATAGAGACATTCAGGTGATCTCAGTGCCCTTTTGACTTCTGTAGGTTATGTTTATAGCAAAGTGAAGTCCTTGTGTGTATTAATAAGATACCAAAAAGAAAAGAGACCAATTTTGTGTTTGCTGTAGATAGAATTGGATAATAGGTAAAAATAACATGTGACTTCAGATTTTGTCGAACTTCAGGAAAGGTAATATGAAATAAAAAAAAAATCAGACAAAACTGATACCAATCTGCCTTCACTTTTCAACCTTCTCGCCAGTGTTGACACAGTTGTTGACACAATGTCCTCCCATCGCACGCTCTCCTTTGCTGGGTTTCAGAACCTATTGCAGTGGCCACACAGAACTCACAGTTAAGTGAGTTTAAGTGATTTATTAAGGAAGTAACAGGGTAACTTAGAATCAGGAACCATGTAGACAAAGTGCCCTTCAGAGCAGGACAGTCAGTATTCAACTCCTCTTGACCAAACCCACTGTCCCTCTGCCCCTGAAGACAGGCTACTCTTGTCACTATTCCTCCCTCTGTGCACCAGCTCCCTTTCTGGGCCTGCTGCCCTTGCTTCTGCCGCAGACTCCCTTCTGACCCTGTCACTGCTGGGTCCCATCCAGGCCCACTGAAGTCGTCAGCATTACAGCCCATGACCTGTGTTACAGCTCTTTTAGGAGATTCCTTTTTCCATTCTCTCTGCTTCTCTCTCCCTGCTTTCTGTTTCTGAAGGCTTTGTGAGGGTGGCTGTGTATGTGTGTGTGTGCGTGTGTGCGCGCGCACGCGCGCCCATACATACACAAACACACACACTTTCTTTGTACTTTCACGGATTGGCCACTCCCAGTGGGGGTGTAAGGACACTAACTGATAATTCTCACGCACTAGGCCCAGGCACATAATTTGCCTCGTAATCCACCAACACTTTATTTGCATAGTAGGCCCCAGTTACTTTATTTTCCCCTTTTTTAATATTTTTTTTATTATTATTTTAATGAAAATTTATGGAGACTTTGGATTTCCATTCATCCATTTTGTCCTTTTCTCCCATTCTTCTCTTTGAAAAGTAAAAGGAAAATTCTTTCATTGTTATACAACCCCTCCCCCAAGTCCAGTCCACTATGCATCCTTCATTCTGAACTCTGTCATGACAATAAAACCTAATCATATATCCCAGTTACTTTATTTGTGTTTATTGACTAGTTGCTGCAAATTGCATACTGATCGTAGGGCAGGCGCAGAAGTATCAAACCTTGGTTGATTTTTCAGCCCATCCGGGAAACATCAGTAACCTGGACAGAAGTACAAACATTTGGTTTAGAACATTAAGGTAGAGGTATCACCCCAAGATTTAGAGAGAACTCCCTCAGCTGTTTCTACCAAAAAACAAAGGGAGAAGGCCACATGAAGAAACTCATGCCCCCCCAGTAGGGCTCGTGACCCTAGAACTTGAACTACTTTAGCCCATTGATAAGACTTGTGTGTATGCTCGAATCCTCTATGGATTCTAGCTAGCTTCAGGATCCCACTGCTTAGGGTTCTCCGCACCACTGTGTTAGGTTCTGTGCGGGTTCCAGTGAGAGTGCCTTTAGTCTGAGAGATGAAAGCATATGTCTTAGGGTTCTCTACAGAAACAGCCAGTGAGGAGCAGGGTGTGTGTGTGTGTGTGTGTGTGTGTGTGTGTGTGTCCCCGTCCCCGCACACGTACGCTACACGTACACATATATGCACAACGTGGAAGGAAGGGAGAAAGATTGGTTGATGTACTTCAAGGAATTGGCTCCCACAATTGTGAGAGCTAGAAAGACCAAGATGCATAGATCAGGCTGTAGGCTGGAGACTCCTGCTGGCTCATGGGATTGTGGGACCCCACAGGTCCAAAATGCAGAGGTCAGGTGTCAGGCCGGAGAAGTCTGCAGGCTTTCACCCCACTGTATAGGTCAGGCAGTGGTCAGGGTACAGAATTGAGAGAGTTCTGCCAAAATGCATGTATATAGACAGAAGCAGACCCCATTGTACGGCACTTCCATTTCACCCAATTGATCGCTCCCAATCCATTAACTGATGACATTAAGGAGGACACTCGCTCACATCATCTAGTCTAGTGTTCAGCCCATTGTTGACGCCGTGGAATGCTTCTCTCTAGGCGCTGGAATCCAAACTTGCCTCCTGCCGCAATTTTGTGTACGACCAGTCTCCAAACCGGACAAGTGGTCCACCGTCTGGGCGGGGCAGCAAGAGCCGAGACGGCAGTGACAGACGGGCCAGCAGTGCCAGCGTGCCTTTGGGGGATAAAGGGTTAGTACCTTTTGATGTGTCTGCTGGGGAGTGCTGGTTAATGGGGACTAAGTCATTCCAGGTGGTAGACTCATAGCCATTTTTGGTTAAGTTGTAGAAGTATGTCGGGTACCTTATTCTTTACCTTTCCCTTGAGACAGAATTGAATGATGTCTTCTGATTTGGGCAAATAGCCAAGGGGAGACACCCCCACCACATTTTGTAGCTCAAATGAGAGTTGTTCTGTGAGCATGTCCTGCAGAAACCACTTGTTTAGTAGCTGAATTGCAGACATTGCTTTGTTTCTGGCTTACTTTTCTGGCTTTTTAAATACTCTGAATCTTCAAAAAGCTGGCACTAAAATCTAGCCAGTCACCTCCAGTACCATCATTTATTTTTGTGCCTATGAAAATCAGCTTCTAAATATGGCAGTGGTGTAAAATATGCCCACCTTCTCCCCCAGGCCACATAAATGTGATGGATCTGTGGCTTCCAAACTGAAAAACAAAACACAAAGAAATACCTCCGACTCACTGTTGTCAAGTCACTTCTGACTTATAGTGACCCTCTGTCTGGTTTTCTGGGCCATAATTCTTTATGGGCATAGACTGCCCGTCTGTCTTCCTGATGGTTTTGAACCATCAGAGACACAGGGCCTTTTCACAGGAAATGTCTTTCCTGGCTGTGCACGTGACTTCCAGCCTCTCTAAAGGCATGGGCTTGTTACAGAGGCTTCAGAGCCTGGACTTGTGTGCACCCTGGAGAAGGGAGAGGTGAATCACACACAGCCTGCTTTTTCTTCATTTCAGAGGAGAGAAAAATGAAGCATAGTAAGTCGCTGTTCCTCTTCCTTTGATAATCATTCTGAGAACATGGGAGTCCCTGAGCTTAGCTGGTTTGTAACAGCAGCTCTATCAGCTTAATTTGGTTTGCTCTGTCTGAAGGTTGGGAAAACGCCTGGAATTTGGGAAGTCGCCTTCAAATAATTCCTCGCCGTCGCTGCCGTCTACCCAGGGGGTAGTCAAGATGTTGCTCTAGAAAGACCACGGACGCCGAAGCCCTGGTGTTTGTTCACAAGTTGTTACCTTTCTTCCTTTCTTTATACTAGCTGTGGTGTGGGTTTTTTTAAAAAAAGTTTTGAGAAAAAAATTAGCTGGTAGTCACCATAGTTTGTTTTGTGTTTTGTGACCCAAACTTGGCTGGAGGCTGTCACCAGTGGCCCCCTGGTGACCATCCTCGGAAAAGGTGGGCTTGTGACCCCCCAGGCCCCACTGCTGTTGCATTCTACAAAGGGACAGAAACGCTGCTTCCTCTGGGATGCTCTCTGAGGTGTAGACCAGGGTTTGTGCTAAACCCCAGTCTCCCATGTGGTTGTCGCTGAGCCCATCCCCGAAGCTCACACCTACCTTTCCAAGCGCTCACCCCCAACCCAGACCCATCTGGAATTTTCCAGAACAAAATCTTCATTGCTTTATGTGAAAACACAATAAGGGCTAGTGGATGTGCATCTTGTCTGGGAGTGAAGAGTGGACTCAGCATGTGCCTTCTTCAGACAATGTTCGTGAACTTCTGAGATGTCCAGCTGGCTTTTTGCAAGGCTTTGAAAGATGAGGCTAAGTGTTACGGCCAGGGGACAGTCTTTGTCCTCTTAGATAAGTCCTGAGTACCTCCCTTGAGGGGGTGGCCTCAGCTTCTCAACCCTGAGGGTCATGGACAGAATAGTCTCAGTAATGCCATCTGTGCGAACAGGACTTCCTTCGGAGAGCCATGATCACATTCGTTAGGGGACCATCGTATAAGATGGAAATGCAAGGGTTGTTGGAACCTTCCTTCCCAGACAAGGAAATGAGCGCGGGATTGTGTGCACTGGCCTCGGTGTCCATCCTCGCACTGCCCTTAGGACTGCCTTCAGCTCTGCTTGTCCAGCTCGATCGCATGGAGCTCTAACCCCAGGAGCACGCTCATCACACCGTCGCCGGTGCTCACTGCCCTGCCGGTGGTTACTAAGGTATTTTCTGACAGAACGACGAGAACATGCCTAGGTTGAGAATAGAACTAAGTGCTACCAAAAGCCTGCAGAAGAATTAACCAGCTTTGTTGCCCTAAGAAAGCGTCCTACCCTGTGTCTGTAAAAGATGTGCTTTTATTTTTTTAAAAATAATAAAATCAAGAGAAAGTATAATTCAGTTAGTCATTGGTATTTAATCTCGACTGCGTCATATGGCGACACTTCTGTTTGTGTAGCAGGAAATGGTTTTATCTTTTGTTTTTAACTAAGCAACTCCATATGAAAAAGGTTAATGTTAAAAAGTTTCCATGCAAGTGAGCTTTTTAGGAACATGTTTGGGACACGTCTGTGTAATGCTAAAGGCATTCAGTCATTCAGAGGGACTTTTTTTTTTTTTAGGTTTCCTTATTTCCTCTCTTTTCAGTCTGTTTTGTCCCACTGAGCTGGTAAATTGAATGATCTGGACTGAATAGAACCAGGTTGATTCCAAGGAGATTTCCAAGGAGAATCAAGCTGACAGAGGCCCCACAGCCTGTTTATACAGTTTGCAAGCAGAGAATAAAAGATTGGGTGGGGTTTTGTGGATTTTTTTAAAACTATTATTATTTTGTGTGCGTGTGTACCGTCAAATCGGATGTGACAGGTACAGGAGGAGATTGTTCCTCCTTCCTCGGCAGAGCATCTGGTGGATTCGAACCGTGTGCTTCTGGGATTGCAGTGCAGCTTCTTGCCACTAGGCCACCAGAGCGCCCTAAGATTGGGGTTTTTGTTTCGTTTCATTTTTTTAAAAAACCCAACACCAAACACAAAATGATCAGGTATGGACAGCTGAACCCATATGGCTCCATGAGCCTAAGCTGCGGATTGTTTGGCCTTTGCTGCAAGTTTGCTGACCTCTGCTGGCCAAAAGAAGGCAGGAGTGGAAATTAAGTGCTTGAACTTAAAAATTCAAGAACATGTGACCACTCTGTACTGATATGTACATGTGAGTTCAGTCAGTAATGATGTTTTCTGGACCAGCAGTGGACTGTCCACAAGGCAGAACCGCACGGGCCCCAGTGCATCGTCCCGTTCCTTTAGCCCCTCAGACATCTCCCACCACCTCTCCCTGTTCTCCCAGTTCTTCGGTGAGATCTTGGACAGCCGAGTCCACCTCCCTAGGCCTGTCTCCTCCCTGTTGACATAGTAAGAACATAGTAACCCCGACTTCATACAGCTACTGGGATGAAACCAAATAAGCTTCCGCACCCTCCCTTTCTTTTTTCACATCCCAGAAGACAAAGCAACAGAAAAGCCCACTCCATTGTAGTGATTTATAACCTTTTATTCGTGAAGGTGTCCTTAAGTATAACCGGGGTGCGTATAAAACAGTGGCACATTCCTGCTCTCACCCGCCTAAGCAGAGTCTGTCTTTAACGCTGGTGAGTAAAGAAGGCACTTGGTCTGGGTGAGCTGTGTGCGTCAGAGGCGTGGTAACCAGGAGGGGGAAGAGAGAATTCTCAAACCAGGGTACGCAGGGCAGGGGATGGTTTGGGAGCCGGGAGCTTGGCTCTTGTCCTGGAGACACTCACCATCTCTCATGTAAACTAGCTGGCCGGTGATGGGTAACTGTGGCTATCGATGCCTAAACTCGGTCTCTACACAGTTCACTGAGAGCGAGCGAGGGGCTGTGCCTGTGTCTTCCTTGTTGGGTTTTCTCGTTGTAAAACAAATTATTACCCTGAATACAGCGGGTGGGAGTGTTTTTAATCTTCACTGTGATGAGTGTCTGTGGAGTTTAGAATTTGAAAATGGATTCTGAGAGTGCTGAGTGCTGTCCCCTGCGTTTCGTCTTCCCTGCACCCCACCCCGCTGAGGGGGCCAGCCAGCCAGTTGCTTATTCACTGCCTTTGGTTCCGTTGAAGTCTGCATCGCGAGCATCCATTTCTTCATCAGAACCATCCGCATTTTCAATAACTCTGCGTCCTCCGGACCTTCTAGAGGGAACGAAAGATGGCTCGTTCCCTCGCCTGTGGGTTTTAAGAAGACATGTTTCCTCAGTTAAAAAAGAATCTCCCTGAAAATTGGACTTTAAAAAAAAAAAAAAAAAAGAACACTAAAACACAAATCATATGCAGATACTCAGGTTGAGGTCAACAAATGCTGACCTATTTAAGGCACTTAAGCTGAAATAAGAGCAAAGTAGGTATTTGAAAGCAAGATAGTCTGCTTTTAAAAAGTGATGTGAGTTCAACCATTTGGTGACAGGAAGTTGGTTTGGGGCCTTTTATGTAGAAAAAGAAAAAAGTGGAGATTTCTTTTTCTCCTTGATTTTTATTCGTGCCCTCGGGGGGGCTGCTCCTCTGGTTCCCAGCCTGGGAGAAACTCCTTGGCGAAGCTGGTAGGGAGGGAGCTTCTTGGACTGAATTTACCAGGGTTCAGTTGCACCTGGTTTTGGTTTGTTTATTTTTTCCTTTCAGTGGTGTAGGCCCATGTGTGGAAAGGTCTACCATGAATATTTGTTAGCTAAGTGACACATAAGTAGTCTGAGGTGTATTTTAGCTTTAGCTGGGAAGCTACCCCTATCTCTGTCTTCACCCTCATCTCTGGTCCTGCCGGCGGCCCTCTCTGTGCTATCTCTGATTTCACAAGAAGAGCTGGCAATGCGAAGTGAGACTTGGGGTAAAGGGCTGAGGTGGGCAGGAGGAAATGCTAGACCCGCCTACAGTTACCCTTTGCTGTCTTAGAAGAAACATTAGTGGTATCCTCTGGATTACACAGTCACTGTTGCGCTGTTTGACCTGAACTAGATGCCAGGCCTTAACCCCTTTTAGCAAGAATCAGAAACAAGCCAACTTGTTGCAATGAGAATGACCAGCTCCTGCCCCAAAGCTCAGACTGAGAAGCTGTGAAGGAACCCACCCCGTTGCCAAGTCAAAGAGAGGTCTCAGAGAGGTAAGACCAGAGGCCAAGAGGTTCATGATCGCTGCCGAGGGGAATCCTGACACGAATAGGGACAGGCCTGTGTGCGGATCCCAGACTGGTAAAACCCAGCGAGCACCCAGCTGGTGCCTCCTGAGATGCAGCGATCAGGAATAAATACTTAAAGTTGTAGCCATGTCGACAAGAGAGTCCTAGGCCAGGTCCACTCACAAGGCGCCACATCCCTTAGAAATTTCTAGTACATTCTCCCTAGAAGAGAACTTAAAGGTGTTTTGTTTTTCCTTGAGGCTTTTATAAGAACTTGGGTCTGAGAGAAGCAACCCTAAGTGAGAGGTGGAAAGCACATCCACATCGTAGTAGCCTGTGTCTGTCTGTACAGCTCCTCCCACTCCAAGTTCAAAGCCAGGGAGGAGCATGAGGCTTTCTCAACTAAGAAACTACTCAGCAGGCACTTCAGGGCCCCAGGCACTCAGTTTGTCTCCCAGGAGAGTCTGTGTTTTCTAACTAGAAGGCAGGCCACGCTGTAAGTTTGCTCCTCTGATCCGAGAAGGAAATGGTGCCCTGGGTCATTCTAAGCCTTTGCGTGGACACCATTCCTACACAGCAGTGTGTCCTGGTTTGGGTGCCTTTCTAGGGTGAAATAGGACTTCAAATCCGAGACAGCGGCTGACCCTGGAAGTAAGGGACCCTCTAGAGGGTTTCTCACAGGGTCTGATCCTGGAGATTCTGGATATTTTTCATGGACTTGCAATTCTCCAAGGCACTGGTGGCCTGAATGCAAGGGAATAAGCATCCTATTGCTTTGAAGACACCGAGTTTCTCCCTAGTGGTTTAATGCACCACATGTCCCACTGCTAAGCAAAAGATTCGCAGTTCGAATCCACCAGGCACTCCACGGGAGAAAAATGGGCATTTTCCTCCCCTAAAGATTGATAGCCTCAGAGACTCAATGGAAGGTCACCAGGGGTTGGAGTAAATTCCTCAGCAGAGTTTGGTTCTTTTGGGTCCCTCCAGCTCATCCCTGGCTCAGCGTGTTCTGAGGGTTCCAGCCAGGAGGCAGGAGAGCTGCTCCTGACCCACTTGCCTTCCAGACTTAGCAGCTGCCCTG